CCGTCTCCAAGCGAAGAAAGCACTCACGTTGCTATTCACGTAGGAACGCGCGAAATTTGGCGTAACTTCGCAAACGAAGCATCCAGAGCGCTGAATTTTCTATGGATTGGGGTCATTGTAATAATTTCTAACAGTCGTGGTGACCAGTCCCAATTCTTTTAGCTAGAAGCATCTGCCGGGAAGAGCCGTTGGCGAAAAAAACCTGCGGGAGAACAGTGCAAAAAACGCATCCTCGTACCGGCAGCCAGTACGCTTTCGACTAATTTACATTTGCATATAAGCAAAAACTCATTGAAATGGAATGACAATCGGCCTCCTCCCTCCCTCCAAAAGTCGAACTGCGTCTTCTGGGGCGAAGGAGGAGGCCGATTGTCATTTCATTTTTATGCGTTTTTGCCGTGCAGTGCTGGAGCGCTGCAACAGGCAGCAAAAACGCATACTGCAACGACCCTCTCGGTGTGTGTGTGTGTATTTTTGTATATGTTTGTGTGTGTGTGTTCGTCTGTCCGGGTATTTCAACTCGCCAATCACACAGGCTTTGAAGCTGAGATTTTGCCAGTGTGTTCCCCAGCCAACTGCCACCCCAGGACCGCAGTATCAACTCTCACGCACGTCGGTACCCCGCGTACGAGCATGTGAAAGTTTTGGCGGGAAAACTGATGACTCGGGAACGAAGGAAGCTAGAGAGTTGAATCTTAGGGGAATGTTCCCTGCCCGTGTGTGACAAAAAGATTTCAAATTCAGCTGCCCAGGAGTGCCCGGGGCTTACGTACGGGCACCTGAAAATTATGACGGAAAAACTCACAACTCGTAAATGAGAAAAGTTAAAAAGTTGAAACTTTGAGATGATGTTTCTTACTCATGCACGACCAAAAGTTTTCGAACTCGACTCCTTAGGACCGCCCTGGGCCCACGTACGGGCACGTGAAAATTTTGGCGCGAAAATCACTAACCCGGGACGGGAAAAGCCAAGAAGCTGAAACTTTATGGCAACGTCCCCCATTCATGTACGAGCAAAATCAGGTGTTTAGAAGCGCCCGTGCCCACGTATGGGCACGTGGAAATTTTGGCGCGAAAATTGTTAACCCGGGAACAGGGGAAGCTAGGGAGCTCAAACTTTCGAGGGATGTTCCCTACTTATGTACAACCAAAATCAGGTGCTTAGAAGCATCCGAGGCTCACATACGGGCACCTGGAAATTTTGGCGCGAAAATCACCATCCCGGGAACGAAAAAAGCTCGAAAGCCGGAACTTCAGGGCAATGTTCGCTACTCATGTATGACCAAAAGATTTCATATTCAGCCGTTTAAAACTACCCGGTACTCACGTACGAACAGTGAAAATCTTGATGGGAAAACTGCTAACTCAGGAACAGGAAAAGCTGAAGGCTTTGATTTTAAGGGAATGTTCCCTACTCATGTGCGATTGAAAGATTTCAAATCTATTTTCCAGTGCGGTCTTTTTCGCGGACTAGCAACTTTCCATTCGTCGAGTCACTGAAGTCGACATCTACGACTGACACACCAAATAGCTGCAGAATTAACCTCCCGAACTTCGAGGGCCAGTATGTTACAGGGTTAGTTACTATGATTCCTTGCGATCTTGCTACGGCAGAAAAAGTGTAGAAACGCACAATCGCACCAGCCCGCCTGGTGCATTCCAGCCTGGGTTCTCCATCTCCCACCTATCTGTTGACATTCCCGGTTACATATGTACCGAAGGATATACGTATTACCGAACTTCTGGGCCTGAAAGTAAGAACTTGACTCGACTTGACTGACTGGGCCTGAAAGAAGTTGACGACGGCGACTCCTTCTTCCTCCTTTAAATGCTGTTCAATGACAAAGCAGCACCCGCTGTAGTGGAGGAAAAACTGTTTTCCTTCTGTCTAGTCGCTTCTGCCCCACAACAAATTATTTTTTTTCTGGTTCGTTGTTTTCAAGCATCCGGTGCGTGCAATTTGGACCTCAAACTCTCCTTCCATTGAAAACAAAGTATTTAGCCGTTACTGG